CTTCTCAAACAGAGTGGTTGCAGCTTGGAATGCCTTGCCTGAGGATGTTGTTATGTCAGGCTCGGTAGATACTTTTAAATGGAGACTAGATCAGCATTGTAGCGCGCACCACAATAACGCCGGACTACGGCCACCTTGACAACCAACACGGACAATTTAGTGTTATAACGATGCTACTACCAACATTTAAGTAATATATGTTTATGTTATTTATTAAGCTTGGGCCACGTCGCACACCGCTGTTCGCATTCACCACGATGCCTGTAGACTAAACAATTTTACCTCTTTTTCCCGTGTCTTAAGTGTGCCTCAACTGTCCGCTGTATTTTGACCAACAAAGCAAGTTAATGTGCCTCTAAACTCTGTTAAAAGCATGACATTCTGTGTTCATCTGTACAGTTTTTGCTATTCCCCTCGCATTTCTTTCATGTTACTTCCTTTCCATTTCCTCCATATATATCCTCTGCATGTAACCAATAGGGATTTCAAAGGTACACACCTACTTTCCCTGAAATATACTGATACTGATACTGATATGAAAAATAGAAGAGATTATTCGGAAAAGTCGAGTTGTACTCGAGGTTGTAATGAGTACAACTCGACTTTTCCGAAGAACCACTTCTATTTTTCATTATATCAACTCGAAATGCAGACCCCTACTGAGCTACTACATATATATATATGCATGTCAAGTGCATCTGGTCTGCTGCACTCTTAACGTGCTGCCTGTGTATATATATAACTTGTATTTTAACCGGTCCACATCTACAGTGCCGTTTACACTTACATGTCTAAGCAAAAATGTGCGCACTTTCCACGCAGCGCTTCAATTCTGTCAGTTATGACCTTCAGTACACTGAGTCATCGTGAAGTCACAGTTAAATCCACACTGAGGTGTGCAGTATCAATGCTTTAAGCTAAAAGACGCTTTTTCGGCTCATTTTTGGCTTATTATCTGGAGTACAGGAGACCTACTAAACTTTTACCAATCCGCGATATAAACGGTCAGTGACAGATCTCATGAACTGTTAATCGAAATTCTGAAATAACTTTCCGAATAGTAAGGGTTACTTTAGGGAGGTTGTCGTACTGATTATCTGGAGACGTTATCCTGTGATATTTCAGAGACCCCACGGTATTGGCTTTTGAGTGCACTTCTTTTTGACCTCTTGTCAAAACCACGCCGTGTAAAAATGACTACGTAGGCAACATGAATTTTCCCAATCGATTTTCAATGCCCTTGTTAGCTCGAACAAATTTTAAAGAAAAGCTCTATGAAATACCATTTCTCGCATTTATTTAGTACTAAATCATGTCTTCTTCAAATAATATGCGTGAAAAAGGGCATAATTTGGTTAAAAAAGCGTTTTTTAATTTCCAAATAACTTTAAACTCTATCTGCCGTTGAATCTTCTTTTAGGGCTTTCAGTCCACAAGCATGCATTCTTTTATGCCATTATGGGACTGATAAACTGTTGCAACAGGCTTCGACTACGTTGCACACTTAGTGAGGAGCATTATTAAGTAGACAGATACGACGTTTTTCGAAACGACACTGCAAGGTCTTAAAAAATTCATAAATAGTAACCTTTTTAAAGTCGACAGTTACCTTTTGCTCGAGTATAAAATCTGAAGAAGACGTGATTTACTACTAAATGACTGCGACAACAAAATACGCGCACAGGTCTTCTGCAACATATTTTGAAGTTACAAGGACATCAGAAACCGATTGGGAAAGCGCATACTAAGTAGTCATTTTTAACCGGGCGCGGTCTTTATTGGCCACTAAAAAGTGCGTTAAAAAGCCATCATCCCACAGTGTCCGAAATATCACGGGATTATGCCACAAGATAATAAATACTGCAGTTCCACGTAATTAATACTTCCTAATCGAAGGCGCATTTCAAAATTTCAGTTAACGTTTCACGCGATTAGTCATTGACTATGGCAAGTCAGCCAGCGGTGAAAGCACAGTCAGATGTTTTTATGTGAGGTCCACACGAACCACCGACTCTTGGGAACGCACTACGCGCTTTACGACATGAAAAGTAATCGACACTGTGTTTGCTCCGACTCACAAGTACAGCCTTGATTCAGTCTGGACCACAGCTCTGCAATTTGGTTTTTCCAGTCTTCCTAGCCTATGATGCCCTTCAAGATACAGGTGCTGAAGAAGGCGCAGTTTGTGGTGAAAAGTAGGGCGCGATCTATGGTGAGTAAAGAATACCGCCGAAGACGAAAAAGACCGTAATGACTATTTCTGTCGTTGTCAGTCAGCCATGTAGCTCAATTGGTTAGAGCGTTGGCTGTACTAAAGCCTTCCCCTTACTGCGTGGGTTCGAATCCCACCGAGACGCCGAGTTTTTCACAGTTGAGTCAATATGAGTCAGCCACACATCAGAACAGGAAGGACTTAAGGGCTAGACCGGGAAGCAGTCGTTCACCTCGCTCTTCGATCAAATGCGCTTCAGCTAGGGACTCGCATTCTGCCGACTGCGATAGGGCATGGCAAACGTCAGGTTGACTGCTGCAAACCATCTTGCATGATTTCCAGCAGGCGGACTTGACAATAGACAATATCTTTTTACCCCTTTTAAGATTAAAGCTAACAAACCAACAAAAAGGGGGGCACTTTCAAGGAAGAGATAAAAACCACTGAAACTTGCTTTGTCAAAAAGTGTACACAATAAGTGCGAATGGAAGAAGAGGTTGAAATTCCGTGGACTGTGAAACGGCGTTGGAGCTGCCTGTTGCGAGTGGAGGGGAGTACAGAAACCTGTACAAATCACTTCGGTCCAGCGGTCTTCTTCGACTCTTCAGGCTTCCTTTTTCCCTTGGAGCTGTCCTTTACCCCTTTGCTTTCCTCCTCACTGCTGCTTTCACTTTCGCTATCCTCATCACCATCACTACTGTCTTCAGCACTGCCATCGTCATCATCATCTTCGTCACTGGAGTTGCTATCGCTAGAGTCACTGGCGCTGGAGTCACTGTCATTAGAGTCACTGCCATCGTCGTCACTATCGCTCGAGTCACTGTCGCTAGAGTCACTGTCGCTAGAGTCACTGTCGCTGGATTCACTGTCGCTGGAGTCACTGTCGCTGGAGTCGCTGTCGCTGGAGTCACTGTCGCTGGAGTCACTGTCGTCGTCATCATCATCACTGTCACTTGGGTCACTGTCACTAGAGCCACTATCACTATCGCTATCCTGACCGCTATCACTCCCTTGCTCATTCCTCTCTTTATCCTTTTTCCTCTTCTCCACGTCCTCGTTCTTCTCCTTTTCTCCTTCCTTTTCTCCTTTCTTGGGACTCTTGTCCTTGTCCTTCACCGTGTCTTCTTTCACCGCTGCACCCTCGCCTGCCGCATTGTCCCCATATTTGGAGGTCTTCTTAAGGATGCCTTTTCGAACAACTGCGACATCCGCTGCGGCGGCAGCTAAGCCGTTGGGCTGTTGAGGCGGTGCCCGTGAATCAGCATCTGTCGGTTTGGTGGTGGACGACGGGGATGTCTTTTGGCTAGTGGCGGTACTCTGCGCCAAGTTTGGAGCAGTGTTTTTGGGTTGTCGGTCAGGCCGTAACGGCCGTGGTGGCGGTACAGGTGGTTGTACTTGAATTGAGGATTTTGAACTCATTTTGCCTTTGGGAACAGTCGACGACGCTGACAACGGGCGGGTTGGTGGTTGCTTAGTGGCGGTGAGGGTGATGTCTTTGGGAGGCTGACTATGACTGTGGTGCTGGCGGTGAGGAGGAGCTCTTGAGCCGAAGGATTTTAACTCACTCTGTTTTCGGCAGTAGTACTGATGGAGAGCAACGGGCCTGAGACTGGATGTTGAGTGAGGTGCTGGGGATTGCTAGGAGACCGATGAAAAGGTGCAAAAATCCTCTGTGGACAAATGGGGTTGTCCTTCGGAGTCTTCGGAGAGAAGGAGAAGTGAAGTGGAGCACTCTGACTTCACATACACATACCAGCTCAAGAAATAGAAGTCCTAGCCTGGAGGATGCGGTATGAATCCGCTGGACCAGCGAGTTGTTTAAGTGCGGTGGCGATGCGAGACCGCACTATGTTTGTCTGATTCGTGTCAGTGCTTGCAAAGCGCACAGAGATTCCACCGTTTGTCTAGACAGGTGAGGTGCCACGGTATTCATGGCTGAATCGATCGCGTGGATTGGTTAGGATGGGTCTGTGCTAAAGTCGAAACCAACGCGTCAGCCACCGACGACTTCCAGTGAAATTTGGATTAATAATCAATTAGGTGCGTTCAGTTAATCATCCCTCCTTGATTTATTGTTTCAGGAAAACACTATCTTCGTGAATTGATTCCGACGAGAGAAACTCTTCCGTGCTATTTCTATTCGTTTACCAAATCGTCTCGTTCTCATGGCAAGAGGCAAAAAGGTGCTCTTGTCGTCTATATTCCCTCCTGGAACAGCAAGAAATATCTCCTGCAAATGTAGGGACTCTTGATGACTAGTAAAGTTTAAGTATTGTTCACATTTGTAGCTTCCCAATTTAATAGGCATATCGACCCTCGTCCGGTTTGCAGAGCCGTACATTTTTATGTATTCAAAGACCAGGACAGGGCGGATACACTGACGACAACGAACTCACCCGAAGGAGAAACAGAGGAGCTGCCAGACCGAACAACCGCCGCAGATGCTCAACTATCTTCCGTAGATGAGTTGATCAATAATGAAAACAATTTTCAAAATCGCCAGGCATCCGTCAAAAAATTGGCGTATTGGAAAAGTAGGAAAATTGCCCAGCCCAAGTTCGAATATTTAGGTAAGTCATTTAAATTTCTGTTCGATTTTGTGCACTGCACTTTTTGAAAGTGGTGGGCTGACCGTGTTCACGGAAAACTTCATATTCTAATTAGTGGGACATAGTAGACCGTTTATTTTGGCTTAAAACTGATTGACTTTAGCTATTTTAAGAACTTTAAACAAATTTGAGTTTGTTAGCAGGCGTGCTCTCTTGTTTGCAAAAGGACCGCTCGTTAGGATCTCAAAAAGTCCTGACGGGCATAATCTTAACACCAAACGTCGCTTATCGCCTTTGCCTACCCTGTTTAGTCGCACTAAGTGTTGTTCAGGTGATAGGACCTTTCCTTCCGGCCCTATAGAAAGGCTGATGTTAACATCCTGTGCAATGTAATATCTGGGGGGGGGGAGAGGTGATGTGTAACCGTCCAAGAGTCTATATTCAGGAGTCGATGTACGCATGTTTGCGTGGTCAGATTGATGAGATCTTTAACTGCAGTCAAGCATTGCTGGCTAGAACTTCCTCGTTCTCTTCTCCGCGAAAATGAGACATACATAACTTGATCTGAAGGAAACAGTACTTTAAGGCCTACCGTGGCGGTTAACAGGAGGTGATAATTTGGTGCGTAATATCTGATCATTTGTTTGGAGACCTCGTTGTGCGAAACTGACTCAATTTTTCCGTTTTTATATTGTCAACGATGCGATCGACCGGAGCCAGGCGGATTTTACTTGACTTAGCCGACAGATACATAATAAAATTAGAGGTTTTCATAACGTCACATATTGACAGGCCGATCAGTGGCTATTAACTTTAAGTAGCATTGGCAGATACGCCTATAGGCATACAAGTTTTCGTGTATAGAGAAGACTTTTCTTCCGTAAAATTGGCATGTAGTTGTTGGGTACATTAGAGTGCGGTGAGTTCCAGAATGCCCTTGAATTAATTTCTTTAAATCTATTACCCAAAATGACAGATTTTAAGCTGTTTTTATCGAGTACTCGAACATAAGCTATTTCGCGAAAACATTTAGCGAGGTAGTGAGTTTTTGGGCATTCATTTTTATGCAGACGAGTGTTTGAGTCATATGTGAAAACTCATCCAAACAAGAAACCTCAATGTACAAAAAATAAACGCCCTTGACGACGTTTAGCGACGAATATACTCTTGATCGACGAAAAACCTTCACTTATAGCTTACTTCCATAAGAAGCGATGAAATACGAACTTCCACTGGTAGATATTCACGGACTTTGAACTTTCGTGGGGTATATTCGAGGTAAAATTGGAACTTTCGCCAGGTCGTTCGGTCCTCGAAAAAATATTCACTTATTATGCTACCGACGAAATAATCCATATTTCTCTAATGGAGGTAAATTGTCGAATTCAAGGTGCTTAGGGGCAACAGAACAGGGGGATATTTGTACCGAGGTGTTTATAGGCGTGGAGGGGGATGAGCAGGGCTATGTACGGTGAATGACCGATCTCATGAAATGTTAGCAGAAATTCTTAAATGCGTTTTCGATTAGGAAGGATTACTTGGTCGCGGTTGTAATACTGACTATCATGCGGCATACTATTATAACTTTTCGGACTCGGCAGGATGTCGGCTTTTAAATGCACTTCTTTTCAATCTCCAGTAGAAAGCGTACTCGGTAAAAAATGACTACTTAAGTAGCATGCATTTTTCCCGTCGATTTTCGATGGTCTTGGAAATTCAAAGATATTTTATAGAAACCATAAATAAAAATATGCTTTCTTTTAGTCAATCACTAAAGAATCACGTCTTCTTCATACTTCATAATTAAAAAGGGGTATAATTAGGTTTTCAAAAAGTTTTCTAATTGCCGAATAATTTGGAGCCTGATCATTCGTTGCATTAGCGCTTAGTGATTTCCCTCTACAAGGTGCATGCGTTCCGCGTAAAGAAAATCACATATTTTTCTATGCCATTAAAGAGATATCATGCAGAGTCCATAAAATTTTGCAATGGATGGGGACCATGTTGTTCATTTCATGAGAAGCAGTGGTAAACGGCCAGGTACAATGCTATGTGAATTGACATTTCGCGGTCTTAAAAAGTCTCATAATTAGGAACTTTTTTAAAACCTAATTATACCCCTTTTTAAGTATGAAGTATGAAGAAGACGTGATTCTTTAGTGATTGACTAAAAGAAAGCATATTTTTATTTATGGTTTCTATAAAATATCTTTGAATTTCCAAGACCATCGAAAATCGACGGGAAAAATGCATGCTACTTAAGTAGTCATTTTTTACCGAGTACGCTTTCTACAGGAAATTGAAAAGAAGTGCATTTAAAAGCCGACATCCTGCCAAGTCCGAAAAGTTATAATAGTATGCCGCATGATAGTCAGTATTACAACCGCGACCAAGTAATCCTTCCTAATCGAAAACGCATTTCAGAATTTCAGCCTACATTTCATGAGTTAGGTAACTCACTGTATGCCGGCGCCAAATCGATACATCGATTGACTGAGTTCACCTCCGCGGCTCAGGCTTCAGTCACTACTCAATCTGTCTTGTTTATGACGTGAAGGATTATCTTGACGGCCGCGAAATTAAACTGATAACTCGTTTCGAAGGCGTGGGTGGGCACCTGCGATAATTCGTCACCTCGTCGCACAGCCAGCCCATGTTCGTGTATGCGCGATCCGAGTATGCGTTCAGCCTGATCTGTGTAATTACAAGGACAGCTTATGCACGAGGTACGATTGACTACGCCTGACTGCTCCCTCGGATTCAATCGTTCTTTGATTTTCATGACCTGACTGCGCATGGTGGCTTTCGATCGGTAGTCAATTCCAACACCTAACCCCACAACAATGTGCTTGGTCGCCTCTGAAACGTTCTTTATGCGTCACAAAACATGCCATATCATCGAAGTTCTTTCCAGTAAGGTTCTTCGAGGGCAAACACATAGACATTTACCCATAAGTGCCTTTGAATTGACATTCCGCATGAATTGGTTGAGGAAGTATCGGGCCTCGCGTGCATTATTTTACGGGTTTGTTGCAGTGAATCTGAACCCATCTGAAGTGTATTCTCACATATTTTCGTTTATGAGTCACCGGATGTTTGCTGGAAAAACTGGCAGTTTGCCTGGCGTTCGTTGTCTTTCTGCAAACCGTTGTCTCTAGTTTGTCATTAACGCTTCGCCTGACGGAAGATTTACAAGTCCAACTTTCTGAAATCGATAAAATGCCTCGGTTTCTAAAAATACTCCTTTTGTCCATATCCTGCTTCATATGATTTATGCGGAAGATAAAAATGGATTTTCAAGTGCGGGAAGTTTGGCCTGGTCTAACTCTCCAGGCTGCACCACTTTTCTTTGAAAAAACCCTTCAGATGTGCAAACTAAGTCTAGGACTGCTGTTAACATACAGTGAGTGACCGATCTCATGAAATGTTGACTGAAATTCTGAAATGCGTTTTCGATTAGGAAGGATTACTTAGGCGCGGTTGTAATATTGATTATCTTGCGGCATAATCTTATAAAATTTCGGATTCGACAGGATGTCGGCTTTGTAATAAACTGCTTTTCAATTTCCTGTAGAAATTAAACTCGGTAAAAAATGACTACTTACGTAGCATACGTTTTTCCAATTGATTTTCGATGGTCTTGCAAACTCAAATATATCTTTTAGAAACCATAAAAATATGCTGTCTTACAATCAATGAATAGATAATCACGTCTTATTGATATTTTATACTCAAGGAAGCAGTATAATTAGTTTCTAAGAAAAGTTTTCCAATTGCCGAATAATTTGGAGCCTGATCGTTCGTTGCATTAGCGCTGAATGATTTCAATCTACAAGGCGCATGCGTCCCGCGTAAGGAAAATCACATATTTTTCTATGCCATTAAAAAGATATTATACAGAGTCCATAAAATTTTGCAATGGATGCGGACTATGTTGCACATATCATGAGGAGCTGTGGTCAACTGCGAGGTACGATTAAATGTGAATGCACATTGCGAGGTCTTAAAAAATCTCATAATTGTAAACTTGTTTAAAACTTAATTATACTTCTTCCCTGAGTATTAAATATCAAGAAGATGTGGTTATCTATTGATTGACTGAAAGAGAGCATATTTTTGTTTTTAGTTTCCATAAGATATATTTGAATTTGCAAGACCATCGAAAATCAACAGGAAAAATGCATGCTATTAAAGTTTTCATTTTTTACCGAGTACGGTTTCTACAGGGGATATGAAAAGCAGTGTATTCAAAAGCAGACATCCTGCCGAGTCCAAAATGTGAGAAGATTATTCCGCAAGAGAATAAGTATTACAACCGCGGCCAAGTAATCCTTCCTAATCTAAAACGCATTTCAGAATTTCAGTCAACATTTCATGAAATCGGTCACTCACTGTAGGTAATTGACCGAATACAAGGGAGCGTACATTTCTGCCCAGATTAATAAATCTGTTGACTAATAAAATTATATCTACACATATTGTGCACGTATAAAATGACAGTTTCCGGTGCGGCCCAGGTGAATAAGCAAAATACGCATCAATTTAGGCGTCTAAAACTGGATATTTTAGTTTCCATGACACGTTTCATGATTTGGGGCATATATTGCGTATTTCAAAAGTGGATACATGGATAATCATTTTATGTAGGAAATTATGCCCTTTTCAGATATGGCACTCGAAGGCGTGCATATTTTATGACACATAAGCTGAAACAACATCTGTTTTCAAGGCCTCTAAGATATATGATGTGCATTTCTGTGGTGGAAATCCATATATTTGTTCGTGCACTTGCAAACGAGTTTCCTGACAGGTTTATGCACTAATCTGTGAATAGCAGTAATGGCTCCGAGGTTGTTAGAACATGCGAAAATGCAGCTAATTGTATAATTAAGGCTCATAGTTAGGAAAGTATGAAAAATTTACTTTCGCCTTCCTTTGAAACGTTTATTTATGCCTTCATTCTAACCCAAATATAAGTCCATGCAGTCGTAGACAATCCACGAAAAAATGGCTCCTATTTAACCGGTAATGTTTCAAAATGTGGGATTTTTTACAGCCCTCTGGAAAAGTAAGAAATGACCGACATAATTTTTTGTCCAAATCGGTTTGTAGCCTCACAGGCGACGGAGGCCTGTCTGAGCGTGAACACAAGAGCAATCACCAAGGCGCTGATCAACAACTTTCTGTTCGCTGATTGGCTCATCGAAGTGTCTTAATGTACAGTAAGTGGGCTAAATCATGAAAAGTCAACCGAAATTCAGAAATGCGTTTCCGTTTCGAAAAGATTAATTAAGTAGGGTTGTAAAACTAGTCGGTCTGCAACATAATTCTATAATATTTCAGTTACCTCAGGATGCCGGCTTTTGAACGAACTTCCTTCTGGCTGCATGCAAAAACGACACTCAGCAAAAAATGACTACTTAAGTAGCATGACGTTTTCTCTTTGATTTTCAATGTCATTAAAAAAGTACTAATTAGGTAGCATGCATCTTTCTAATTGATTTTCGATTCCCTTAAATGTCTAATTATATCTCATGGAAAACATGCATAAGAGTATTCATTCTTTCGATCATTCGGTAGAAAATTACGTCTTCTTCCAATTTTGTACTCGAAGGATGGACATAATTCGGTTTTAAAAATAGTTTCTAATTGTGAGACTTTTTAATACCGTAACATGGCCGTTCATAAAGCGTCATGTCTCTGCATTTACCAATGTGGCATGTGAAGTTAACAATATGGATCAAATCCAGTGCTAAATTTGATGAACCCTGTATGGTCTCCTCTTAATACCGTGGCGAAATTTGTGGTTTTCCATACGCGGAAAATAGACGGCTTGTAGTTTGGAAACCCTGAATCCAAGTGTGACGGCAGAGCGGGTTCAAAACGATTCGGGAATTTGAAAAGTTTTTAAAAACCGAATAATACTCCTTTTCGAGTATAAAATTGAAGAAGACGTAATTTTCTACTGAATGAGCAAAAGAATGAATATAATTAGGCTTTTAGAGGCATCGAAGATCAATGAGAAAAATGCATGCTACTTAAGTGGTCATTTTTTGCAAAGTATAGTTTTTTTCATGCTGCCAGAAGTTCATTCGAATGCCGGAATCCTGAGGTAACTGAATTATTATAGATTTATAGTGCATACTGATTAGTTTTATAGTTCCACTTAATACATCTTTTCGAAACGAAAACACATTTCGGAATTTCGGTTGGCATTTCATGAGTTAACCCCCCTACTGTAACTGTCTTTCCTGCGTTCTGATTTGGGAACTTTCGAGTTGTTGACCATTGTATCTCAAAAAATGTGCCTTCCCATAAACTAACTCACACACGCAAGTCACCAGCGTTGCATCCACTCCGTGGGATACGCATTGGAGGTCGTTACTTACCAAGGTCAAACTTCCAGGTCATTCGTTATGCCACTTCGGCTGTGGACTCGCATCCCATAGACTGCGACTGCGGCGAATAGTAAAATTCAAGTGAACTGCGCACCGTCAGATTACTTAATACCTAACGGGTAATTGTAATCATTAAAACGTACTCTCGTGCTTTATGTGAAAAAAGAATATCAACAAAAACAAGGACAGCTTTTAAAAGGAGATAAAACTTACTGGGACACGTTTTGTCAGAAAGCGTACAAAATAAGTGCGAATGGAAGTATAGGTCATAGAGTTGCAGTAGAATCACGTGGTGGTGGTGGGGTGGGGGGGGGGGGCGGGAGAGTAAAATTTTACACAACTCATTTTTGTCCATCTTTCTTCCTCAGCACTTCGGACTTCATCTTTTCCTTGGACTTGTCCTTTTCTTTTTCGCCATTCTTTCCTTTGCCGACTTCGCTTTCGTCATCCTCATCACTATTACTGCTATCTTCAGCGCTGTCATCATCATCATCATCATCATCATCATCATCATCATCATCATCATCATCATCATCATCATCATCATCATCATCATCATCATCATCATCGTCACTAGAGTTACTATCGCTCGAGTCACTGCCGCTAGAATCACTGTTGCTGGAGTCGCTGTCACTGGAGTCACTGTCGCTGGAGTCACTGTCATCGTCGTCGTCATCATCGTCACTGTCACTTGAGTCACTGTCAGTAGAGTCACCATCACTATCGCTATCCACATCGCTATCTCCTTTCTGCTCATCCTTAACCTTCTTCCTTTTCTCCACGTCCTCTTCCTTCTCCTCTGTCCTTTTCGAGTCTCCTTTCTTGGGACTCTTGGCCTTCTCCTTCCCTTCTTTCACAGCTGCAGCCTCACCTGCCGCCTTGTCTCCATCTTTGGGCGTCTTCTTAAGGATGCCCCTTCGAGAAGCTGCAGCCTCCGCCACGGCAGCAGCCAAGCCATCGGGCTGTTGAAGTGGTGTCCGTGAACCAGCCTCTGCCGGTTTGGTAGCGGTGGTGGGCAGCGGGGGCGTCTTTTTGCTGGTGGCAGTATCCTGCGCTGCATTCGGGTGAGGGGTTTCAGGTTTTTCCCCTGGTCGTGTCTCCGCTACTGCCGGTGGTGGCGGTGGCGGCGGCGGTGGCGGAGCCTGAGTCGAGGCTTTTAAGTCCATCTTACTCTGGGCTGGTTGTTTCGTGGAGGCAGTGGTTTTGGGCGCCTTTGTGCTGGTAGTGGTGTTCTTCGCTATCCTCAGGGCGGTGGTTTTGGGCTTCGGTGGTGGTACTGCCGGTGGCGGTATAGCCTGATTTGAGGGCTTTGAACCCATTTCGTTTTCGACAGTAGCGTCACCGGAGGGCAAGGGGTCTGAGACTGGCTGTTGAGTGATGGGCTGGGGACCACTGGGGAATCGATTGTCGTTACTGCCGAATGAAAAATTGAAAAAATCCTCCGTGGGCTGAGAGTTTGTCACGCCTTTTGGACTGTCCCCTGCAGTCTTTGGAGAGAAGGAGAAGGGAAATAGAACATTCTGACATCACATACATCCACGAGCATGCAAGTCAACGCAAGGAACATAAGTCCTAGTTTCAAGGATGTGCTATGAATCCCATGGACATGCGAGCAGTTGAAGTGAATTGGTGATGCTAGACCACATCATGTTTGTCTCATACGTGTCAGTGTCTGCAGGATCCAGTAGCGAGTTTTCACGGTGTCTAAGGCTTCATCGGTCACACAGATTAGTCCAAATACGTCCGTGCTAAAGTTCAAGCCACAGATAAGACTCGAAATTATTATCCCCAGGGAGAGGTGAAACACGTTACTGATTACTGGGTCAGCGATCACGATAAGAACCTATTACCTTGCTCGTTTTGATTTGCTTCTTTGGGTGCTCATGACGAGCTCGATTTAGAAAATGACCTAGATACGAATATCGAGGATACAAGGAGTTTTCCTGATGGCTGATGCATAGGCTTTATTTGCCTGACGTTTCGGATCCGAACGGAAGTCCATCCTGAGAGACGAGATCGGATGAGGATTGTGAGTTTTGCCGGCGCCGAAGTATGTTAGGTGGGCTAAATCATGAAATGCCAACCGAAATTCCGAAATGCGTTTCCGTTTAGAAAAAATTAATCAAGTAGCGTTGTAAAACTAATCAGCCTGCAACACCATTCTATAATATTTCAGTTACCTCAGGATGCCAGCTTTCTAAAGCATTTCTTTCCGGCTGCATGCAAAAATATCCTCTGTAAAAATGACTACTTAAGAAGCTTGCATTTTTCTTATCGATTTCGATGCCCCTAAAAGTCACAATTATATTTAATGGAAAACATGCATGAAATAATTATTGTCTTATTCATTCAATAGGAAATTACGTCTTCTTTCAAGTTTATACTCGAAGGATGTGTATAGTTCGGTTTTAAAAAAGTCCCAAATTGTGAGATTTTTTTAATACCGTAAAATGTTCATTCACAAAAAGTGCTGTCATGTGACTCGTGAATTTACCGATATAGCCCAAATCCACTGCTAAATTTCACGAACCCCATATTATCTCTTCTTAATACTGTAGGGAAATTTACGGTTTTGCGTACGCGGAAAATATGCAGCTTGTAGTTTGGGAATCCTGAATGCAAGTTTAACGGCAGGTCGAGTTCAAAATTATTCGGCAATTGGAAAAGTTTTTAAAAACTGAATAAGAACCCTCCTTTGAGTATAAAATTAAAAACGGACGTAATTTTCTACCGAACGAGTAAAAGGATGAATGTTTTTTGCATTTTTTCCATGAACTATGATTGAAATTTCAAGAACTTAGAAAATCAGTGAGAAAAATGCATGCTACTTAAGCAGTCATTTTTTACAGAGGATAGTTTTTGCATGCAGCCGGAAAGAAATGCTTTCGAAAGCCGGCATCCTGTGGTAACTGACCTATTATAGAATTATGTTGCAGGCTGACTAGTTCTACAACCCTACTTAATTAATCTTTTCGAAACGAAAACGTATTTCGGAATTTAGGTTGTCATTTTATGAGTTAGCCCACCTTCTGTATTTAAAGGATAGAGCTGTTAAGCCCCTGCATGCCTTTCCGAATCGTCCGCTCTTGCATCCGTAACAGCCGATTTGTAGAAATTTCGCTACCCGACTCGAGTTTTTAGGCCATTTGACTCACAGACACTGGGACCGGGAGCAGTGGCCGTTCCACACGGGTGTTGAGAGTTCGGTGAGAAACGACTCTGCTGTGGACAAGCAGGTGTAGCCACCCGCGATGAGTGAGTGAGCTGTCGGTTTTGACAGACCTGCTGTCATATAGCGACTTCATCCTATAAATACCGAAACATATGTGCACCCCTCTGATTATGTCTCGGAAGATGGATTTGAATGGAAGTTCGAAACGCGAGGCGAACAAAGCTCCTGCTGCAGCGATTGTGTCCCCACTCTCCCAACTACTTTTAAGAATTCGCTTCTGCCCTTCTAGCGGCAAAATGGTTTCCTTCCTGTCGACTTGTTTCATTTATGTGTGCTTTTAATAAGTCCACTTTGCAGGGTTTTCTATTTCTACACGCTTCAGGAAGGAACTATGCTCTGGTAGTAACGGGTGGTCCGATGTCATTGCAATACTCCGCTCCCTGGCAATAATAAGTTATAGGACCGAAAACTAACTTGAGCTGGCCTGCGGACCGTGCCATAAGTTGAATGGTTGTACAGGGGATTTTAGGGATGAGGTGGCACACAGGACGAAGGGCAAGAAGACGCAGAAAATCGATAAGTTTCTACCGAAAGTCTTTCTGCACGCTGTCATTTGGCAAAGAAAGTCAGCGCGAAAATGGATAAATTTCTGCCGAACGTCTTATTGTACGCTGTCATCTGGCAAGGAAATTGAGCACGATAATTAAAAAATAATTTAAAAAAAAACAATTTTCAAAAAATAACGGACTTTGAATAAAGCGCCGCTGGTAAATTTACATTTTGTCAGGAAGGAAATTTCAAACAATGGGAACGGTGAATAATGAGTGTTGTTTACTGTGACACTGAATTGCAGGGTATATTTTTGGAGTTGCCATCCACTTGGAGGTCCTACACGCCATCGTTGCCCACTCATTTTTTGCGCTGCTATTTGCAAAATTGGGTCAGCAGCGGCAAGCACAATCGGTTTTGTTTTAATCCAAACAGACACCATCAAAATGGATGGACAGGGATAACTTTGAGAAATCTCATCGAAATGGTCAGAGCTGAAAAATTGGGAGCACGTACACCAGGAACCAAATGGGGATGCCGGGACGCCCATGATGAAGCGAAACACTTACACAAAGAACGAAACATGCATAACAAAAGACATTCGAATCCCGTGCCAAAACTGTCCTTGCCACTACACAGGCCAGACAGGACGACGTCTGAGCTCACGAATACTTGAGCAGAAACGGGCCGTTCGGAGAGGCGACCCACTGTCTCAAGTAGCCACTCACACGCTGGAGGAAGGGCATGAGTTTGATTTCGCCAACACGCGGATATTGGCGCGAGCCGGCAACAAGACAGGGCGAGAGCTGTTGGAGGCGTGGGTGTCGGACACCAACTCCATCAACAGACACATCGATTTGCCGGCGTGTTATCACGCGCTCCGCCCACGCAGCCAGGTGGCGCAGCTAACACCGTCGCGAAGTACAAACGGCGTCACCACGCCGGGGGAACATCGTGAACCAGGCGGCACAAACCCTACCTAGCCACGGACGTACTCCCCCTCCCCCGCCCGCAAGGATGAACGATATAAATGTTCACAATTTGCTGCACTCGAGTAGCCTGTGATGATGAACTCTAGTTCGAGTTCGAAAGCTCAGGCAAATAAACCTACTGCCCCAGTGATCGTGCCTTCGCCTTCTTTTAAACAAGAACCTGGAATGCGCATATTCTCTTCCATTCGTGACATTCATAATTATCGGATTTTTTGGTCGGATCTTATTTTGCAGCCTTACCAGCAGTGGACAAACCCTGGTCAACCCCCTACCCCCAACACCTAACCTTAGCTCCTAGTCCTAACCCCAACTCCTAACCCTGACCCCTAACCCCTAACCCTGACACCCAACTCCTAGCCACAATCCCTGACTCCCAACCCATAACCCCAACTTATAACACCTAGGCCTAGTCCCTAACAGGTACGGCTACGAAATAAGATTTTTCCAGATTTTTTAACACTACGAATTGTCTTCTGTAATAGTATCGTAGCTGAGCGTTTGCTAATAAGTACACAGCGTGGCTCATATTCATTGAAAAAATTTTCGAACCCGACAGAGGGTCTCCCTAATAGCATACCGGAATGTATGGTCTTGCTTCAAAAGAAAGTGTGCAATTTGCAGTTTAGAAACCCCGATCCCAAATGAAGCAGTTCCGAAATTATTTGAGAAATGAAAAACTTTCAAACCAAGTCAGCCGCTACTTCGAGTATAAAACTGACGGAACTAGGCCCAAATATCTGTATCGACTTCTTCTCTGAACTTGAATAGGCCTGTGCAAAAGTGCTTATTCGAAGTTTAGGCACCAATTTCTGAAGAAATTAAAACAACGCACTTCGACTTATCAGCATTTTTGCCTTTCCTTCATGCGTTTTAAGCGGGAAAGCAAATGATAACAAGATTACTGAGCAAGTATATCTGAAAGGGGGCTGGTTAGGAAACCCATTTAAGACTGTAAGACCACACAATTTTAAATTTACTCCCGAGACAAACAGAAGATATGAATGGAGGGGAATGTTAAAATTCCAGGTGTATGTATGAGTAAGGAAGAAGGTGACTGATATGGCGCCCGAAGCTGTTTGTTTGGGTTTTCGAAATCACGCAGGAGTAGACTTCCAGAGATAAAAACAAAAACGGGGACAAAATATGGCAAATTTCCGCCCGTATCTTTGAAAAGAGTCACGAGTTTGACTTCGCAACCATCAGGATAATCGTTGGAGCCGAAAACAAGATTAATCGAGAACTGGTTGAAGCCTGGGCCTCAGATAAGAACTTAATTAATTGATTTATCGATCTGGCTCCTCCATAAAGACCCTCGGCAGTCGCCTCCAGACCCGCAGCACTGATTTCTGATAGGCGAAAAAACTCCATAACAATAATCGTTCTGTTACTGCTGTTATCTCTGACGACGGATTCCTCTGCGAGGTCAAAAACCCCAAAAATACATAAATGATTCCATTGCTGGACCAGTCTCCGTCTTTCGAACTCGCAGAAGTCCTGAATTTAAAATTTTACACTACTTCTGACCTGTGTCTTTTCGATTACTTCCCGCTGCTAATAAGAATTAAACCTGCGCAAAATTAAGTAAAATGCTATTCATCCTAAGCTCGTCGTGGTCGCCATTCGGAGATAATGTTGAAAAAAGCGAACGCTTTTCGGAGAATCAGTAGTTAACTCTTGACTCTTCGATCTGTCAGCCGATAATTCGTTGTCACATAAAACGACTGAGGGTGTGGCGCGTGAGCTCTATGAGTTCATAGGAAGGAAGGATCCAACCTCGTGAATGTTGGCAGGAAGTTTTAGTCGATGCGAGGGTGGTCTGAAAGGGCTTTTGTCAGAGCATCTGAGGTATAGTGCGAAGACAGGTGCTGCGGTAGTGGGTGTGGGGGAGGGGAGTCCGTTGCAAGAGCACACAACGTGCTTCCTTAATGACTCACTGCGTTATAAGTGGCTGTGCCGCCTGCGCTGTTCTTGGTAGTCCTTAAAGTACGCATCATGGTGGAAGCCACAATTAATTTTGGAGCTTCTGCGTTCCGTTACGGAACGAACGAGTTCCGTAAGAAGGATCGGTGAGCGCCCATCCACCACTATATATTTTTACGATCGAAACCGACGGGAAAACAAGCCCGTGGTTCAGTGGTTAAAGGCGTAGGACTTCTAACTAACAGGTCACGAGTTCGAGCCCCAGGCGTTACACAACTCGGAGTTGGGTATAACTGGCTGGAAACGGCTAATAAGTCAGAAATGCCCATTTCAGTCTCCTCTGTCTTTGTCGGTAACGCCATTCTGCCTATATATATATATATATTATGACAGTGGGCGCTCACCGATCAGGTTACGGAACGTGCTCGTTCGGTTGTGCCTTGAGGCTCATACTAGAACCCCCGCAGGCATTCGCACAGCGACTAGTAGTAGATATAGATGAGATGGTACCGACAAAGACAAGGGAGACCGGAATGGCCATTTCTGGCTTATTAGCCGTCATCAGCCAGTCATACCCAACCCCAAGTGTGGATCACTTGAGATTCGAACCCGGGATCTTTGGTCATGGAGTTGAACGCTCTACCATTGAGCCACGGGCCCGTTGTCCTGTCGGTTGTGATCGGGAATATTAATTATGACAGTGGGCGCTCACCGATCAGGTTACGGAACGTGCTCGTTCCGTTGTGCCTTGGGGCTCATACTAGAACCCTCGCAGGCAGTCGCACAGCGACTAACAGTAGATATAGATGACGGCTAATAAGCCAGAAATGGCCATTCTGGTCTCCCTTGTCTTTGTCGGTATCATCTCATATATATATATATATATATATATATATATATATATATATATATATGAAGATAGAAGACTCGTCGAAAAAGTTCGAGTTGTACTCGTGAATTTTCGAGCTGGTGACACAAACCCGAATAGCCCATGCATATGGCCTCACAAAAGTGCACAAAGAGGGTACGCCATTGAGGATCATAGTACCGCTGATGGGATCGCCCACCTACAACCTCGCTAAGTGGTTATATAGGCACCTGGAGCACCTCACCGATGGATCACAATATAGCATCAAAAACTCTCACGCATTCCTCCAGAAGATCCAAGGCCTCAAAGTAAGTCCTGATGAGTGTATTCTATCGTTTGCTGTAGTTGCCCTGTTTTCCTCAATACCGCATGACCTGGCGATTGAATGCGTAACCCGACGCCTGCAAGACAATTCAATCAACATTCCAATAGAATACATTTCAGAAGTGCTAAGACGCCGTCTCAAGAACTAATACCAATTCGATGGAAAGTTTTATCAACAGGTTAGGGGTAAACCAATGGGCTCGCCGATATCAGGTCTACTAGCTGAACTGGTCCTGCAGCAACTAGAAGAGGAAGTTATGCGAACCTTTAAACCAGAAATGCGGCTCCGATACGTAGACGATACGTTTGTTATCATGAAGACCTGCGAAATTGAACAATTGCATTTGAGTCTGAATAGCGCCTTCCCCGCTACCCAGTTTACTCGCGAAGAGGCAACAGGAGGTATTCTTCCGTTTATAGACGTTATTATCCAAACTCTCAGCGATGGCGGTCTCGCAACGAGCGTCTACCGAAAAGACTCCGGTGCTGACGTCATTCTTAATTATGAAAGCAACCGTCCTGCGGCTCATGAAAGGAGCTGTGTCGGAACCCTTTTCCACCTGGCCTATCGTTACTGCAGCAGCGATGGTTCACTTAAGAAAGAACTCGCTTTCTTGTCTCGGTTATTCCGTCTCAACGGATACCCAGTCGGTTTTGTGAAAAATTTTCTCAGGCATCGGAGACAACCACAAGGCGCTGGTTCTAATGAGGGACCAGAATTACGAAAATTTTTCTCTCTACCCTACATGCAGGGCATTTCCGAAGCGATCGCCCGACAACTAAATCGATTTGGTATCTTCATTGCCCACAAGCCGACGTCCTCCCTGCACACAACGCTATCCGGGGTAAAAGACTCTATACCCAAAGAGCAGCAAACCAATGTCATCTACCGCATTCCGTGTGCTAACTGCTCTTTCGACTATGTTGGTCATACAGGCCGACGACTCGGGACGCGTATAAACGAACATAAACAAACCATCCACCGACGTGACCCTCTGTCACTCGTGTTTGCGCACGCCCTTGAATGCAATCATCGCTTCAATTGGGAAGGAACTGAAGTTGTTGCCACGGCAAACACCTCGAAGTCTAACACTAACACGACCAGCATCAATCGCCATGTCGATCTGCACGCTCATTACGAAGGTCTGCATGCCCGGCTCACTGACTTGCGCCCACGACCTAACAACAGCCGCTAACCCATACTCGGCCATGTATACTCGCACAATTTCGCCACCCCTACCCCAGACACAACGAACCGCAACTGCAATCCCTAACACCTCTACGCTGGCTCACTGATCTCTGCCTGCATGCCGGATCGACGAACATTAAGTCCACTGCCCGTAGCCCCATTGAATCATCATCTCCCCTACCCTCCAACACAGGGAACCGCAACAGTTCCCCCTCCCTCTCCCCGCCACAGATCCTAGCCTAATTATGTGTCCACCCCCATTTCATACATTACTTGCTTGCCTGTCAGTGGCTGCCCTGTCATGCCAACCAATTTAGTTTGATCATACTTTCTCCTCTGTTTATTACGTCTGATGACGGGTTGGTGTCACCAGCTCGACAATTCACGAGCACAACTCGATTTTTTCCGACGAGCCTTCTATCTTCATCATATTATCTCGGAATGCCGTCGTCTGACGACGGGTTGGTGCAATTTTCAAGAACTGTCTATACCTGGTGATTTAGATGGCCACCAGTCTACTGAACGCCTACTCTGACGGCTGTCAACGAACGCCATAAATATCATGGTTTTCATAGACATCAAGGAGGATGCCTTCGGGTATAATGGCATTCACTGACGGCGAATGGGCATCATAATTTTTCAGGACAATCCTCCTATTTACCGCTCGAATGCGGCATTTTTCTAAAAAAGCTTACGACTATGATTCAGTTGTTAGGCCATAGTCAAGATTTCCGCTTGCGGCCTGCAAAAAATCTTCACTCCTGCCAACAGACCGGGCCACAATACCATCGAAAATCTCTTTGCATTGATGAAAAGCAACTGAAACAAGTCAAGAAAGCGCTCTTTCATGGAATGTAACGATTGTTTTGGGTTTAATAATTGTACAGATCAGTCCAACATAGGCAAATATTTACTTTCCATGTCCGTCAAACTTACGAGTGGCTTACACACAAGAGGACGATAAAGTAAGTAACAATAATTTGCAGTTGTTATTCCTTGTCGTTATGTTCTCATTTCGTCACATTTCCCTTCCTCGTAGTCATTTAATAATTAACCTGCAATATATTCGTTTTCAACTCTTGACTTATCGTAAAAATGTGTTTGCTAGTAAATAAAAACTTACAAACCAAACCGCGCCTTCTTTTTGACTAACAGTCCTTTGATTAATGCAATAGGACTTTCGCAAATGCAGGGTTCGTAGGATATGCGTCGAAGGGATTGCTGTGCGAATTTCATGACATTTCATTACTTGCAGTGAGTTCCTGATCCCATGAAATGTTAACCAAAATTCTGAAATGCACTTTCGACCGAGTGCGCTTCCCTCCGGGAACCTATAAAAACCTCGTCCGGTAGTAGCTGACTACTTATGTTGTTTCAGTTTTCTTTTATCGGTACTTTATTCCATTGTAAATTCAAACATATTTTATAAAAAAACGCGTAAAAATGACCTCACTTGTACTCATTTTATAGCAAATTACAACGTCTTACAATTTCGTATTCGAAGAAGGGGCAACTTTAGGGCTTTATAAAAGATCTCGACCCAAGAACCCTTTTAATTCGGACATGAAATTATATTCAGGTTAAGTGCCTCCAAAACCGAAGCTGTATACTTACTTTTTTAGGTAGAGTTATGAATTTTTGCATGCGTTTGTAAAGAAACCATTTTGGATTCATAAAATTTTGCAGCTAACACAGAAAAAGCTGCATACTTCATAAGAATCATTACGAACGGGCAGATTAGAAAACATTTAAATGTACCGTTCAAAGGTCTTAAAAGTCACATAATACCATTTTTTCAAGCCAAATCTCTTCCTACTAACATGAGGTTAGGGATGGCGTAATGTTCCATAAAATGAGTACAAGAAAGGAAATTTTTGGACGCATTTTTATAAAATATATTTGAATTTGTAGGGGACTCGAGCCCCGATCGAAAAAAATACATTGTTTAAGTAGTCACCATTCACCAGGTGTGGCTTTTGCAGGTAGCTAGAAAGAGGCACATTTAAAATACGGCATCCTGTTGTGACTGATTAAGCTTGGGCTTTCGTCGTGTGCTTATCAGTATGACAACTCCTCGCGGGCAGTCTTTCTTGTTCCAGAACACATTTAGGCATTTCGGCATTTTGACCTGTATACAGTAGGTGGGCTAACTCATGAAATGTCAACCGAAATTTCGAACTGCGTTCTCCTTTCGAAAAGACTAATTAAGTAGGGTTGCAAATCTGATCATCGTGCAGCCTAAGTCTATAATGATCCAATTACCTCAGGGTGTCGGCTTTCGAATGAGCTTATTTCCGACTGCATGCAAGAACTATACTCTGCAAAAAATGACTACTTAAGAAGTCTGCAATTTTCTCATTGATTTTCGATGCCCTTGAAAATTCAATTACATATCGTGGAAAACATGCATAAAAATATTCATTCCTTTACTTATTCGGTAGAAAATCACGTCTTCTTTCGATTTTATACTCAAAAGAAGAGTAAAATTCGGTTTTAAAAAAACGTTTCTAATTCCCGAATTATTTTGAACCCGACCTGCCGTCACACTTGCATTCAGGGTTTCAAAACTGCAAGCCGTATATTTTACCTGTACGGAAAACAATGCATTTCTCTATGGTATTAAGAGAAGACCATATTGGGTTCATAAAATTAAGCAGTGGATTTGAGCAATATTGTTAGCTTTACAGGCTACATGACGTCTTATGAACGGCCATTTCGCGGTATTAAAAAATATGACAATTAGAAACTTTTTTGAAACCGAATGATACCCTTCTTTCGAGAATAAAATTGGAAGAAGACGCGATTTTCTTCCGAATCAGTAAAAGAATGAATGTTTTTATGCATGTTTTCCATGACATATGGTTGGATTTTCAAGGGCGTCGAAAATCAATGAGAAAACTGCATGCTACTTAAGTAGTCATTTTTGCGGAGTATAGTTCTTGCATGCAGTCGGAAATAAGTTCATTTGATAGCCGACACCCTGTGGTAACTGGATCATTATAGAATTATGCTGCGTGTTGATTAGTTTCACAACCCTGCCTAATTAATCTTTTCGAAACGAGAACGCTTTTCGAAATTTCGGTTGACATTTCATGAGTTAGCACACCTACTGTACGTGTACACTCAGTCATACCTTAAATCAAACAGAGAATAACGTACTTTACTCATTTTTTCCTGAGGTTTTGCAACAAAATATTAAACACTGTCTCTGGAGCCTATTTGCATAAACTAAAATGCCTCTGCAATATAGTCTGTCGTTGCTCATCAAATAATGTAATAAAGGCGAATCACATTGCCTGGTTTCTGATCACCATAAATAAGTCTGAGGATAGTTATTTATATGGACTGTTCTCACACGTATTCACGTTTAAAACAATTACTCGCTTGTCTCAAGTTCAAAGCTTAAGCGTAACTCAATTACACACACAGTGGACGTAGGAACCTAAATTGTTAGACATACTTCATGATCAATATAATTGAATTTACGGTGGCATTGAAATCCAAATGAATGCACGCTAGGCAGATAGTGCATTTGCCTGGTATTCAACCTGGGCTGTTCTGACGAAAGTGCTTTTGGACTGCGTTCGCAATAACCAAACTAACAACTTTCATTCATTGAGACGTTTTTCACTTCACCGTTAGGCTGACTCCGTGTGAAATACTTCGGCGGGATGTTGTCAGTCGTCCAGTAAAATTTGCGTAAACATGCAGTGCCGTTTGAAGTAAATTTTTCCACATAAATATGAGGAATAATAAATGATAATTTGGGTCCAAAAGTACATACTGAAACTAAAGTATGAATGACTGGAAATTCTGGCTGTGCCTTGGGATGCAACCACTTACCTAAGTTAGACGACAGATTTGAGCGAGCTTGACGGGTTCCCTGGGTTAGTCAGTGTTAAACTGACAGTTAGCATCGAAGTTATCAACTTTTATGCCGTCATAAACTGGGACACAAGGATTGCATCATAGTGGCGCCTGAAGGCTCCTCTTGATTAATGGTCCAGTTAAAGACATCAGTTAGTTGATTTGGCGATGACATAAATGACATTGATAAATGACAAACATTACCACAACCGCAACCATGTGGGACTTGTCGCAGTTTTTCAAACATACACCACTCAGTAGCTATTGTGTATAGTCCTTCTTTGTTATGCAACTTAGGCTTGGTTGATCATATGCCATCATATTTCAAAGGAGGTTTCCTGTATATATGTCATCCCCAGAAACCTAAAGTTCAAAACAAGTTCTCATAGCGGAGTCTTCGCTCAGGAATTTCGCGATAGTCAACATTTTTTAAAGGTTCGATCGGGTCTCACTGCCTAAGGGGTTGCATAGATGAACAGATAATATGATAACAGAAAAGACTTACAGTTAACCCGAAAACCCATGAAATTCCGACCAGAATTTTTCTGAATAATCTCTAAGTGAATATCTTCTCAGTTTACTGAATAAACCGCCTTTGAAAAATTTACTGCACAAAAAGTGTCTATTATTTTCAGTGGTTTTACATACGCTTAATACGGCTTCATAGAAGATAATCAGCTATCTCACGCGGTCTACAGAAAATTGTGTTTTATTTAAAACTCCCACTCGTAGGAAGGGAGACTTGGTTTTAAAATGTTTTTTTTTTAAAATAATAGGTGCCTTTGGCGTAGTTGAATGATTCAGTTGACTCGATTGTGGAAAACTCGGCAGCCGTAGTGAAAATGAAACCTACGCCAACAAGGGAAGGGTCCAAGTACAGCCAAGCAGCTCTACCCCAGTTGCCTACAATACGGGGATGGTGGTGAGACGGAGTATACGGGTGAGGCCATCGTACACGCCAAAAATTGGACCACGGAAATTTAAAAAGAAAAGCCGTAGAGTGAAGCACGACGAAATGTTGAATGAGGTGAAAACTAACCGCTACGCATGAGTGGGCGCAGGAGATCTAGTCGACCAATGGGAAGCGCGAGCGCAAGGACACGGCGTAGGTAAAGGCGTGCAGGAAAACCATCCACAACGCAGACACGGATGCACCTGGTCTAGCCACTGCGCTATATTAGAAAGTACATTGAGCACACTCGGTTTCGTAGCCCAGCCATCCACTGGATTAGAAAATAAAGTGAACACATTGGGTTCGTAGCCTAGCCACTCGCTGGATTAGGAAGTAAAGTTTACACGTTCGGTTTCGTAGCCCAGCCACTCGCTGGATTAAAACGTTAACTGAACACATTCGGTTTCGTAGCCTAGCCACTCCGTGGTTTAGAAAATAAGGTGGACACATTCGATTCACATCCTAGCCACTCGTTGAATTAGAAAATAAGGTAAGCGCATCTAGTTTCGTAGCCTAGCCACTCGCTGGATCAGAAAATAAAGTAAACACATTGTGTTCGTACCTAGCCACTCGTTGGATTAGAAAGTAAACTGAGCACCTTCGGTTTCGTGCCGAATCACTCGCTGGATTAAGTATTAATTTTGCATGCATGGCTGCATGTTAGGATCTTACCGTGATACCATATGGTTAACTTTCTAAAATAATTCTGGTAAATGAGAATAAGCTGATTTTATAAATACCACGTCTTTGCATCTTCCTTACCATTTTAATCCAGTGAATGACTGTGCCAAGGGGGAAGTGTGCTTATACACCAACCTCGGTTACTTCCGATATCAATTCACATGCGCTTCCCTTCACCTGCTTCGAGCTCTGCATGCGCTCTCTTTCCCTTCCTAGCCCAACGAATGGCTAAGTTGGGTACATTAACTAAAATTGCTTTAATAAACCAACCATATGGCATTAATCGAGTGGGGCTGAAGAACCAAACCTCGCCATGGACACTTTTAATAGGAATATATCCGAAAACGAGGTCAGATTTTTATTTGTTCTTGAGGGTTCTAGACGATACATTGATGGTATTCTCTGAAGTCTATTTGCATAACGGTACTTTGCCATGAACGCGGATCACACTGTGTGTCTTGCGGGCACCAGAAGTACAAACATTTAAAAATAGCTTCTCAAGTAAAACGACCGAATGATGACGTATTCTGAGTAAAAATAAAAAAATCCAGAAATATGTGCCATTTTTAGAAATATGATTTAAGTTATGCTGTCATCGAAGATCTAATACACGCAGGGTAAGTAACGATCATCTTCCCAGTTTATATCATGCGATCGGTGTGAGGAGTGCTACGGCTCGATCATCGCTGGCGACGATGTCCTCCCACAGTGACAAGTCCTCATAACGTGAAATGTAGCTCCCACGGGAGTCTGGGCTTCCTCCTTGCGTCCATACCGGAGGTTGGCGAGATTGATCACTCCCTGAGATTTAAATGCATAATACTTCGGCCTTCGCGACCGATGATGTCCACCGTGGGCTGTACAGCGTGGTGTGTGCAGGACGGTAATTTGCGCGTGGATCAGTTTGTAGTGGTAGAAGACTAGCACAGCGTCTCCCGCACTCTCTCCTCTCTTATCCGCCTAGTTCCGGAGGCAAAACCGGGTCCGAACGACCGGAAACGTGGTCAGCTTGCCGTAGCGGCAGCCGAACTTTCCCCTTTGGTCAGCAATGATTGTTAAGTTCACAGCACGTGGTGTGTTTCGATGCCGATGCATCCACCCTACCGGCACTGGGCTGAACATTAAATGATCAACACAGGTGGTAGTTTGCAGGTAAAGCGATGTCAAGGTCTCAAATTCATTGGAGGAATTCGCAGTAATTGTCGTTACCGTAAATGTGTGAGGTGTTGCGACAGTGGCCGACGGTGTCCATAGTTTGCCCTTCAGCAGGAACGGTGACTTGCTCGTGAGTTAGTTTAAAGGAATAGCAGGCTTACGCGGCACTTAGCGCACACTCCCTTCCTCATCCATCCGAATCCGTTATCAAGACAGAGTCAAGAAGGCCGGATGCGGGAGAGGGCGCAGGATGAAACCCCGCACTTAAGCGTACCGCCACATCCCCTGATCTACCACACGCTGCCAAGTTTCGTTTTGCCGTGTCATGTGATGTAAATCTCAGAAAAATGAGATTCCAGCTTCTTTTGACCAAAAATTAGGTTCCTGGGTGCGATGACACCTATAGAACACTTGTCAGTAGGTATGACAACGATGCTGTTACCTGAATCTAAAGCACGTAACTCCCATTATTCTCCTAATAACAACACAGTTACGATCATATTTGCCGGTGGAGGCCACTAGAATGACTGAATATGAGAACGCGTTTATCTTGATGGAGAGCAGGGGTCAGAGGTAAGAGACATGTCCCGACTTGGAGGCGGCTTTACATCGGGAGAAGAAATGTGTCGAACTTAAAGACTGGCACCTCCTAGGAGTTGATTCTCGGGCCCCTAACTGAAAAGAACTCCCAGTTTGCCTTGGAGCGCTGCTTTTTCCTCTGTCTTCACGCCCGTCGAGGCACCGCGGAGTCTTTGTGGTATTTCTTCGCAAAAGCATTCTGACCTAGCAAAATCTGCTTAATTACATCTAAATCGTGCCAGTCGGATATTCTTGCTGGCGGTTTCCCCTTCTCATGGTAAATAGTGCATTGAAGCATGGACTTCGGTAAGGTTTTGAATAACAACAGCAATGAATTAGGGTCAGTTGATGACAAGATGCCAGTGTTTTCTCTTTTGAATTTCGCCCAGCTCGTGATTACAATCTCTCCACTTCCCAGGTTCAATGCCGGAGCCACATCCCCGGTCAGTTCGTCTGATTCTGGGTGTAGGTAACAGATCAAAGACACATAAACAAGTGACTAATCATCCGAGGAGTCAATTTACCCCTTTGGGTGAATGGTTCACATCGTTGGAAGAAAATTCAGCGTCTAGTACAGGAAAGTACCAGACTTAAGGACTTGCTTGCAAACCAGATGAATGGATCTAGAAATTACCAATATGAAAATAACAAAACACGACTCTACAGACCACGAATCAGCAAATAACATGTGACTGGGGCTAGACATCACCTAAAATAAGTCAGTGCAGTCTGCGCCTGCCCTAAATTAATAATTCATTAATCGGAAGCCTACGTAATGTTAACAAGAAACCTGTGAGGACGTGTCCAAAGCATGCAAGCTTTTGCAAGGAGTTGATCAAAGTTACTTAAGGCATCTGTGGTTCCGTTGAGCGCAGCGGAAACCCCCTACCATCGCACCGCCTGGTTCAAAACGCACACAGTAGATGTGCTAACTCATGAAATGTTAGCCGAAATTCTGAAATGCATTTTCGTTTCGAAAAGATTACCTAGGCGGGGTTTTCAAACTAACCATCATGCGGCATTATGATACAATAATTCATTTACTCCAGGATGCCGGCTTCCGAAGGAATCTCTTTCCGGCCGCTTGAAAAATCACACCTTATAAAAAATGACTACTTAAATAGCATGGGTTCTTACCATTGATTTTCGACGTCCCTAAAAATTCAATTGTATTTTATGGAAAACATATATAAAAGAATTCGTTCTCTTATTCTTTGGGTAGAAAACTACGCCTCCTTCTAATTTTATGCTCGAAGGAAGGGTATAATTCTGTTTTCAAAAACTTTTCCAATTCTTGAATAATTTTGAGCCCGACCTGCCATTACACTTTTGTGCAGGGTTTCCGAACTACAAGTCGTTTATTTCCCGCGTACGGAAAACCATATATTTCTCTAAAATATTAAATGTAGATCATAAAGGGTTCAGAAAATTTTTCAGTGGATTTGAGCCATATCGTAAACTTACAGGCAAAACTAGTAAATGCAGAGACACGATGTTTTATGAACGGATATTTCATGGTATTAAAAAATCTCATGATTAGAAACCTTTTAAAAACCGAATTCTACCCTTCCTTCGCATATAAATTTAAAGAAGACGTAATTTTCTACCGAATAAGTAAAACAATGAATATTTTAAGCATGTTTTCTATGAAATATAATTGAATTTTTAAGGACATCGAAAACCGATGGGAAAAATTCATGCCACCTAAGTAGTAGCTTTTTACAGAGTGTGGTTTGTACATGTGGTTCAAAAGATGTTCGTTCGAAAGTTGGCATCCTGAGGTAATAAAATTGTTATATCAATATGTCGGAAGATGGTTAATTTAAAAGCCCTACTTATCTTTTCAAAATGAAAACGTATTTCAGAATTTCAGATAACATTTCATGAGCAAGCACCTACTGTACGGAAGTCTACGGGAATTGAGTTCTCAGCTTTTTTCACCAAGAATTCGGTTCACATATTGCATGCAAGCACTCCACAGCAACCAGAAACATTTTCCAAGGAGTTAGAATAACAGAATGCAAAATGTTGCCGCTGAGAGCGACTGCTTTTAGGACTAATCAGACTATACTGTCTTCAGTCTTGTTGGTTTAACGTCTTACCTGCCACTAGCAGTGTATATCCATCTGTTTTGCGTTAAGCATCATGAAAGTTTACTTTAACACCCTACAGATACGCCTCTGAATGTTTTAAGCCGTCAAAAGTAGCATTAGAAAATGAAATGCCCACGACAAAAACTGTCATTTGAAAACAAAATTCTGTAACACATTGACATTTGGAAGAATCATGCCTTCTTAAGAAATAAATTTGGTTCAAAAAAGAGTACTCTACAGCAAAAACTTCGTCTTAAGGTGAAATAAACGCTTACCACGGGCCCTATTGTCGTACTCCCCTTCTCCTTACAACAGTCGCATGAGAAGGTCGGACTCATTGCCTGAGTCAGGTTTAAATGTCACACAGCTAAAAAAACAGAGAAAAAGGGAATTTGGGGCGATCTTCAGACGCACTTCAACTGAACGCACGCAGTGTGCGCTCCATAATAAGTGGCAATTCCAAAAATCCGCTTGCAATCCGAAAAGACTATGCAAAGAGACCGGCTAGAAGTTTGTCCTTCGGAAGGGACAAACAAGACCAGTGTAGAATCTACTTAGAATTTAATCTTTCCCCACTCGAAAATGATGTGACCTTTGCAAGATCTACCCACTTCGATTGTACAGGAAAATTCAGTAGAAAAGGGCGAGTTTACGGTCCTCAGCTGAGGTCAGTGGGCTTCTGAGTGGTTGAGTAGATTTCGGCGGAGGTGGTTAAATCCCAAAAGGCTAATATTCCCTGGGGAAGGCAGGACGAATCCAAGAAATTATACAAACGTCTGCAAAAATGTGTTTTCTGTTGCAAGAGTCGTGAACCTTCTGAGCATCACGTAGACGACAGCATTTGTCGGGAGAATTGTGACTTTTGCCGAAAAAACCATTTGTTAGGAAAATCAGAGGTTAACGCACTAGACAACAACTAAGCCATGCAGAGAAAACCGAATGTCGCTTGACGTAAAAGATGTATTTCGAAGGCTCCATCTTGACACGCGCGATTAAATACCAAATTGTAAAACACTCCTTAACATAATGTTGTAGACCTGAGAACAACAACGATGATGATGATGATGATGACTATACAACTGGACACGCGAATAGATATCCATATTTCAGGTGGTTTTTCGCTAAATTACGGTAGGGACACCTATTTCTGCGTCCTAGCTATAATCCAGCCACCTAGGAATTTAGGGTAAATCTACTTGTAAGTCGGGGATGCTTCTTCTCCGGTTCTACCGATGATACTTATGATGATGTACTCAGCCCATCAAACCCGGTTAGGACCACCGCTACACTAAGTAGCTTTCGCGATGCGGGCGTTAGGTTGGTTACTAAGCGGAAAACAGCCTGCTTTCACACGGTGTAATTTTGAATATACGCCAGCATTTTTTCTCTTTCGTCGCGCACTAAATATGCGTACTTTTACGCCCAAATTTACCTGCTTTTGCAAAATATTGAGTGTCCTCGAAAAACTGTTTACAAAACTGTCTCATGTTCAAGGTAGGATAGAATATGCGAGCTTGTCCACTTAATTTGCCTAGACATAGAGTAGGTTGGCTAACTCATGAAATGTCTACCGAAATCCCAAAATGCGTTTTCGTTTCGAAAAGATTAATTAAGTAGGGTGGTAAGACTAATCCGCCTGCAGCATAATTCCATAATACTTTAGTTACCTCAGGGTGCCGGCTTTCAAAAGAACTTTGTTACGGCTGCACACAAAAACCGCACTGTAAAATATGACTATTTTATAGCCTGATTTTTTCTCATTGATTTGCGATGCCCCTAAAAGTTCAATTATATTTCATGGAAAAGATGCATAAAATATTCATTCTGTTGCTCATTCGACAGATGCTTACGTCTTTTTCTAATTTTATACTCGAAGGAGGGACATAATTCGGGTCTAAAAAGTTTCTAACCGTGGGACTTTTAAAAACCGTAAAACGGCCGTTCATAAAACTTCATATCTCTGCATTTACCAATGTGGCTTGTAAAGTTAACAATTTGGATTAAATCCACGACTTAATTTCATGAACCCTATATGTTCCCCCATTATGGCTGTAGAGAAGAGTGTGGTTTTCCGTACGCGGAAAATATACTGCTTGTATTTTTGAAATCCTGAATCCAAGTGCAACGGTAGAGCGGGTTCAAAATTCTTCGGGAATAGGAAAGTTTTTAAAAACCCAATTATACCTTTCACTCGAGTAAAAGGTTGGAATAAGACGTAATTTTCTACCGAATGAGCACAAGAATGAATATTTTAATGCATGTTTTCCATGAAATATAATTGAAATTTTAGGGGAATCGCAAATCAATGAGAAAGAGTCATGCTACTTAAGCAGTCCCTTTTTACAGAGTGTAGTTTTTGCATGCAGCCGGAAGGAAGTTCATTCGACAGCCGGCATCCTTTGGTAACTGAAATATTATAGAATTACGTTTCAGGCTGACTAGTTTTACAACCCTTCTTAATTAATCTTTTCGAAACGAAAACGCATTTCGGAATTTCGTTTGACATTTCATGAGTTAGCCGACCTACTGTATTTACATACTGCTATCTGTTCTGTTATTGCTGATAATGCGGGACGATGGAATCAAAAGCACCAAGAAACAGTTTGTATGGCAGTTGAGTGCATTCTTATTCAGTGGCTACTCTTAATTCCATGACTGGTGGGGGTTTTGTAGTTTAGCCTCTCCCTTTAAGCATCTCCATAAGAATTCAGAGGTATGAGGTCGGACTAACAAAGAGGATTATCTATGAAATCTCCTCGTCTACTCCAGATGTTTGACAAGATCTCATTAAGGTAAGATTTGGCATCACGATGGTTGTCTAGGGGTGTCCCATTTCGTTGAAACTAAAGCCGCTTGTGTCCAAATCTTATTGGTTTCAATGCGTTTATTGTGAAAAGAAGAGACTTCTTCAGTTACCAGCTGTTAAAGCGTGTATGTGTGTGTGTATACGGTCTTTTGGGAGACCCTGCATTCTTTGGTTTACTTGCAGTACTTGATGACGCCATTTGCCGACTGATACATCCAGAAATACGATGATTCTTGATGACGACTCAGTTCATCTATTAGCATATAAACGCTCTTCCCTCGTCACCGCGACATGGTAATTTAGAATAAAAATATTTTCACCTGCCTCATGGCGAATGGGAATGAACTTAGTGTTTCCAGATAGTACGGGCCTACAACACAGTAATCCGACTTCCATTACTCAGCTATCACGTCGGCAGGAATTGTCTCATCATGAGGAAATGACTGAAACCTGACAATCAGTCCAAAATTATATTCAGCCACTCGGAAACCGTCTAGGACATGATGTTTAGGGGATTCTGAGTAACGCGCCAGGGACAGAGCTGGACTGAAGATGTTACGTGACCCACTGGCTGAAGTGGCATACAGTTCCGCACCTTGCGTGGCATTTGAAGCCCGTTTGGGCCTAACGTAACAGCAGTATCATTTTCGTGGATCCTCTATGGGAATAGAACTTAAATGGCACTACCTGACGGCTATATGCATAAGAAGAAGAAGCGATCGCTGGAACACGGACTTTATTCGCCTGACGTTTCGGATTCTCGCTTGAACCCATCGTACCGATCCCAACTTCTGGCGGGCGATCCCGTACATCAAGAACGTCTCCGAGGCCGTTGGGCGCCTTCTCGCACCACTTGGGGTTGGAGTTGCACACAGACCGAAGGCCACCATGAGGCGTCAGGTGATGAGACCGAAAGACCCACTGCCACGGCAAGAAACATCTGGAGTTGTTTACCGGATCGGGTGCAGTTGCGGACAAAACAACTACGTCTGAGAAACTGGAAGACTGCTCCAGATGCGAGTCGCCACACATTCAAGTTCGATGAGGCCGAAATTATCGCGAGAGGGGATACTCGCGTGAGTCGCGAGTTGCTTGAGTCATGGTTCGCGCGACCTCAGTCTATCAACAAGTGCAACGACATCCCCACTCCATATTCCGGGCTAAGGCATAGGATGGCCGAGGTAGTTGACCACTCGGAGAGCGCAGAAGCCAGTGAGCCAGATGGCTGAACAATCATCACGACAGCATCCAACACGGGTGACGAGATTTCAGCAGTTAACAACTTGCATGCCGGCCATCAAGTAATTAGCGCACCAGCGGGCAGCTATTCTTGATGAAGGGGAGCGCGATTAATTGTTATAGGTATGCGGTAGAATAGCGACTGCATCCTATAAATACTGCGATTTCCTGTGCACGAGTCACCCTTTTCTGCCACTGTCTCCGATGATGGGTTCAATGAGAATCTGAAACGTCAGGCAAATAAAGCCCTTGTCCCAGCGATCGCTTCTTCTTCTTCTTCCTCTTCCTCTTCTTCTTCTTCTTCTTCTTCTTCTTCTTCTTCTTATCAACTAGTTTCTAGAACTCGCATCTTGGCTTGTATCAGCTACATGCGTGTTAAAATGAGGCAAGCGTCCCCTGACCTTAATGGAGTACAGAGCACGCGCGTACTGTCTTGCCTCAGAGATGCAATCGAAAGCGGTTTCATGGGGACAGATGACGATACCGGAGGAGCGGCACTAACTTCAGTGCCCATTGGAGTGTCTAAGTCAGGCGTTCTTATAGTCCTCAGTCAATTATCCTCTACATCCAACTTTTGATAACCGGAAACTCGAGCTTAAACGCTTTGGTCATGAAGCATTGAACCAAGGCTTTGCTTTAAATTCACAGACTCACAATATGTGTCCTACTTCGCGACCAGCGGAAGAACCGGCTCGGGGTTTGATGACATCATGCCTAAATTAGTGCTCAGTTGGTAACAGGGCTAAGTTCCATTTCCGAATTATCGAAAATTGGAGTTGAGGATATGTCTGGAGGACGTTGGCTAATATGCTGAAATGGCCATTCCGAACCCCAATGCCTATGTAGGTGTTCTTTCGGTTTGTATATATGCGCTAAAATTCGAAGTCCAAGTGTCTTATAGCATTCTTCATGCCCTAAAAGAGAGAACGATGAAGAAGAGAAGACGAGTTCGATGACCGAATTACATTTGTGTTTTTTGATAAGGAGATAACGTCAAGCGATAAAATCGCCCATCTGGGTCCATCTCTAGATATGGTAAAAAACCATTCAGCCGACTTCATAGCCAAATTCGAATCTTTAGTAAGGAGACATAGTCGCTGGTATAGTCGCCCTAACAGCCTAAAGGTTTGAGCGCCCCGTCTGCAGATAATGGGTTGTCGGCGCACTCCTGGTTTGTGCACCTTTGGCAGTCCGTAGAAGCTCGCCATCGCGCCACCAGTCCGAATACAAATGTTCGTCTATGAACTTCTTTGGAGGATTATGAACATTACAGTGGCCGTACACATACAGTGA